CCAGCTAATTAGCAGAATATTCTATGAATTCCGTGATAGAGACTGTGTGAAAATGTTGCGTTTGGATTATCTGGGAGCATATTATCCAGAGGAGACGCTCGGCCAAACACTAACATATGTGTAAGTAAACGGCTGAAGTTTTCCGTACGTTTGGATTGAATAAATGAATGAACAAAATAAATACAATGTCACCGTAGAATCACCTTTTTATTATAAAATTGCTTTGAAAAGGGCACCAAAGAACGAAACAAGCGCTAAACTAAAAAATGTTCGCGTTTTAATTCCCTAAACGCACTTAATTTATTGCGAAAGGCAACAGTTGGCAACAGTTATATCGATGTCAAATTTGCTCATATACACATAGTTGCCAACTTGGTGCTTTAAGGACTAGATTAAGTGCTGTTTGAAAATTAAAACGCCAAAAAAATTTACTTAGTGCCTAGTGCCTATTTTAGTGCTCTTTTTTTGAACTAATATTACTCCGAGATAGTTAAAACCTGAAATAATTTGAAATATTATAAACTGTGGTGTCACATGAAGATACGGAATTTACAAGAATATACAAATTTAAATGCACTAAAATACAACCATGATTGATAAAAAGCTGAAGTTGCTAACCCACCTTGTTGAATTCTATTCGCGCTGAAAATGCTAGTACGCAGGTAAGTTAAGTATTTCTTTTTTTCTTTTCTAATTGTTTGTACAAATTTTGATTTTTTTACCACCTGAGTAAAACACATTGTTTCGTGGTGCTGAATCCAAATCTGGCCGCACAATTGCTCTAGTACTAGAATTTTTAGATATCCTACCTCCAGATTGCCAAAAACACGTTTTTTTCGATATTTTAGGTTATATAATGAAAACATCAAATTTTTTGCTCATTTCTATTTAGGGCATTATTTTCGTTTGTTGCGATTAGATTTTTCTTTCTCGAGATGTACTAGTTTTAATAGTACTTCGGTATANAAACGGCTGAAGTTTTCCGTACGTTTGGATTGAATAAATGAATGAACAAAATAAATACAATGTCACCGTAGAATCACCTTTTTATTATAAAATTGCTTTGAAAAGGGCACCAAAGAACGAAACAAGCGCTAAACTAAAAAATGTTCGCGTTTTAATTCCCTAAACGCACTTAATTTATTGCGAAAGGCAACAGTTGGCAACAGTTATATCGATGTCAAATTTGCTCATATACACATAGTTGCCAACTTGGTGCTTTAAGGACTAGATTAAGTGCTGTTTGAAAATTAAAACGCCAAAAAAATTTACTTAGTGCCTAGTGCCTATTTTAGTGCTCTTTTTTTGAACTAATATTACTCCGAGATAGTTAAAACCTGAAATAATTTGAAATATTATAAACTGTGGTGTCACATGAAGATACGGAATTTACAAGAATATACAAATTTAAATGCACTAAAATACAACCATGATTGATAAAAAGCTGAAGTTGCTAACCCACCTTGTTGAATTCTATTCGCGCTGAAAATGCTAGTACGCAGGTAAGTTAAGTATTTCTTTTTTTCTTTTCTAATTGTTTGTACAAATTTTGATTTTTTTACCACCTGAGTAAAACACATTGTTTCGTGGTGCTGAATCCAAATCTGGCCGCACAATTGCTCTAGTACTAGAATTTTTAGATATCCTACCTCCAGATTGCCAAAAACACGTTTTTTTCGATATTTTAGGTTNCTAATTGTTTGTACAAATTTTGATTTTTTTACCACCTGAGTAAAACACATTGTTTCGTGGTGCTGAATCCAAATCTGGCCGCACAATTGCTCTAGTACTAGAATTTTTAGATATCCTACCTCCAGATTGCCAAAAACACGTTTTTTTCGATATTTTAGGTTATATAATGAAAACATCAAATTTTTTGCTCATTTCTATTTAGGGCATTATTTTCGTTTGTTGCGATTAGATTTTTCTTTCTCGAGATGTACTAGTTTTAATAGTACTTCGGTATAACGTCGTAAGCATGAGTCATCATAGCATGTGTAGAGGTTATTCAATCGTTATGAGCGAAAACGCTTTGTGTATTGATTTATATATGTATTCTTGTAAATAGTGTTAATTTTTTGCTTTTGTTAATTACAAACTGTTATGAAGAAAGCATCCTTTGATTAAAAAAAAAAATTGGTGCTTTTAGTTTGGTGAAACGCTTTTTTTCAAAGTGTTTGGTGCTTTTTGAAAATCAAAAGTTGGCAGCACTGCATATACAAGCATGGACAGATAGTGAGCGCTCTAAAAAAAATTTATTTTAGTACATATAATAAAGTGCAAGATTGTAGTTGCTAAAAATTGCGTTGGGGTTTGGCACTTTTTTTCCTTGACAGTGTAAAGCAGTTTTTTCCATATCAAGATATTTTGCGAACATATTTTAAGAGATTTATGCAACCTTGCGGAGTCATGCCAGCTTTTCTTTTTATCACATCACGATGTATCGAACAAATGTGGCACGTTCCAGAAACCGCTACTTGGATTTTGACAATTCTCAATTAAAAGTAAACAACGCCTCAGAAACTTTAGATGCACTTAAATTTGCTAATACTTTCACAAAAATCGCTGTTTTTTAACATTTTCGCTATAAAATCTTTTTATAAATCATATATTTTCCAATTTAATACAATAAAACCACGTTCCCTGTCGAAAAATTTATTATTGAGAAAATTTACTGTTTATTTTATCCTTCCATTCGGCTTTGTTTACTCTTACTTGAACAATTTCATCGCCGCCGGGAATGCGGAATCTTGTATTATATCATTCTTGTTACCATATAGTGTTTTGTGTTGGGCAATTTTTGCTCTTCAAATTAAGAAAATTATGTCGAGCAGAAATAAAACTACTCAAAAACGCGAATATGTGGTAGATTTCTGACCTTGAGTGGTAGATGCTCAATAAAGTGGCAGATCTACCACAATGTGGTAGAAGTCCGATCACTGGTGCGAATACATGCGAGAGCGTAACAAAGTGAACTCAAAATCATGCAAACCCCAGTAGCGAAAATGGTCACTGGTGACTAGGAATGTTCAATATTTAAGAAAATATCGATATCATGAATCGATTTAATTCATTGCAAGTAAAATCGATATGGCGATATATCGGGCTGAACAATATCGATATCGGAAAAATCGATGTTAAAAATCCTACTCTCAATTGAATAGAATAATAAATCTGCCTGTCAACTCACCTAATTGTGTTATTTCCATCTTGTATATTTACTGAGGATTAAAACGGCATGCCGGTCGACTCAAGCGGTTTGTCAAACTTAAGAGCTAAATAAATCACACAAGCTGCTGATTAAACCTACTTTAGTATTTTCCCATATACTTTTTTGTAGATCAAAAAAAAATTTAAACTTAAATATCGATATTGCGGGTTAAGTATCGATATCTTTGATATATCGACGTTCGAATATCGATTCAAAAAATCGATTATCGTGTCATGAAATATCGATATTCAGAATAATCGATACGATATCGAACATTCCTACTGGTGACATCGTAACTAATGAGGATTTGGTGACATCGTCCTAAGCGACATATAGCTGACAATGACAGTGGTGACAATGTCATGCAGGTGTACTCCTATCAAAGACTTATAACAGACAATGTCTTTCAGCGGCAACTTATAAAAAGTTCATTGCAGGACATTGTCGCTTGAATATCATCAATGATCACTGCATGACAAAGTCATGCAGATGCCATCAACGACTAAATGACCATTTGTATAAAAAAGTCATGAACAACTTCCATATAAACGGAGCCCAAAGTCATTGAAGACTTGATATGGCCGTACAAGACACTTAAGTGACTAATTCATGACATTCCCCTGTAGTCAAATGTACTAGTTGTAAACTCCCTCACAACTAGTATGAACCGCATGCCCAACTAGTCTGCCAACTATCGTTTTCCCTGCAAACCATTTTTTCAGAGTATTCTGCATTGTAAAGAAATTTTAAAGAATTCGTTAAGATTTAATTCGATTTTTTGCCGAATTTCCTAAAATGAAATAAATTACGCACACTTCCATTCTTTTACGAAATTTCGGAAGAAAATCTGTGAAGCAACGAAAATAATGGTGCTATGTGAAGAATATCTTTCAGAATTTTTCCAGAATTTTCTTTATTTTTCGTACAGAAATTTCTTTACAAGTTCGTGTCAACCACTTCATATAAGTTTCTTTGAAAATTCGTAAAAAAATCGTTACAGAAATGAGATACCTCTAACGATTTCCTTAAGATTTCGGGAACTTTGGTTTGCAGGGTTTCCATGCAATCAACTGGTATTTTTAACATCGGGATGTCCTAAGAAATGGCAATTGTCAGATTTCGGTCAGAAATATACCAGTTTAATACTAGTTCAAAATAGACAGAAAAATACTGGTCCAATTATGGACCAAAACCACTACTTTGGAAGTCAAAAAATAAAATGAATTCATGAATATACAATAAAAAACCTTTGATTAATACACTACACATTTTTATTTAGCAGCCTTAGATTTGCCAATAATTAGTGTTACATTTTTAGAGTGTTCACCAAATGGAAAAATAAATACATAAATATTTCTAACTTTCGGTCATAAATTTAAATGCATATTCCATTAAATGACGTTAAAAGTAAAATCTTCCAAGTACAATAGATACTATATTTTTATCATTTTTAATAATAAAACGAAACTTTAGTTCATTTTTGAGTGAACTGAAATAAAAAGTTTTCATTAAAATAAATTAAATTCATTAACTTTGCACATTTCAGTCCTTTCTTTTTAAATGTTTTTATAAATTTGGATAAGAATAAAATAAATAAATAATTCCTTCAGTTATTAAATAATCTTAATTTGTGTCTATAGTTTGGCTTGTTGATTGATAATTGAAATTAATCAAATAATTATATTAATCGTGTATTAAAAAAAGTAAAAAATAATTGAAAATGATCAAAAATAACAAAATAATCATGTAATTAAAATTAATGAATTAACTAATAATTTTTAATCAATTATTAGATACCGGTTGTGCGAAATCCAATAATTGCGATTTCCCCACTCTGAACTCGCAAATAGGCCTTTCCATATAGCTCTGCCATATCGAAGTGTGTCAAAACTCTGCCGTTCGAACGCATCCAAACACGTATGTCTTCCGAAAGATAACTCTTAAGAGGTCCCATGAAAGATTTATCTAGCGGCTGTATTTTGTGACTGGAGTGTGGAGGGATGGATACGATAGATACGTGATTTTCCCTAGCCAAATCAACAAGCTCAATATTTCTTGTATGACTCGAATGACCATCCAAGACGAGCAATACTGGCGAAGCAGCTGATGGTTTTACGTGTTTTAGGAAGTGCCGAAACCAGATTGTAAAAATGTATGTTTGAACCCAACCGGATTGATGACATTCGTATATTGATACTGGCGGCGCTCCTTTTAACAACAAATCTGAGCGTTTCTTGCGTGGAAATATAAATAGTGGTGGAACAAATATTCCACCTGCACTCATACAAACAATAGTTGTGATCGTAGATCCCCTCTCAGCAGAAGTAAGGCTACCAATCTGCCTTTTACCTTTCCTTGCCAATACTTGGGGTAATTTTGATGGAACGACACTTATGCCTGTTTCATCAACGTTAAAAACATTGTTGGCTGAATAATTAAAATTGTCCATTTCCTTTTCAAGGATATCGAAAAAGGTATTCACATTATCTTTTGTGAAACCTCGTGCTCTTGCCAATGAAGTTCCCGTTGGAGAGCGGAACGCTAAATTTGGGTTCCTCTTTAAAAACAAGCGCAGCCAATCCTTACCCGCAAGCTGATTTTCTTTTGAAAATGGGTGCATAATATTATTTTTTTCAGCTAGTTGATAGGCTAAGTACTTAACATCCATTCTGCTTAGACCAAATAATTTCGATTCCATCGTCAAAACGTAATCCACCAACATCTTTTCAAAATTTTCGGGAAAAACTGGTTTGCACCCTAATTTAGTGTTTACGACCTTTTCGATTTCGGTGTCTTTCTTTAACGCTAGCCTTATTAAAGTTGACTTCGGAACATTGTACATCTTAGCTGCTTTTAGATAGCCGCAGGTATTAGATCGCACCGCTGTGATCGCCTTTTTCATGTCCTCGGGATTCCAATTTTTGCGCTTACCAGGAGCCATATTCTACATTAATAAGATCTTAATGAACTTAAAGGTAATCGAGCTAAAAGAGCAAGAATTGTTCTGCGGGTAATATGGACCACTAGTCCATATTAGCCTCTATCGTGGTAGTCCATATTACCCTCAATATGTGCTGGCGATATAACAGAGTTTAATTCCAATCTTAACTATATTTATTAAACTATAACCATTTAAAATTAGCAACAAGTATTTATTTAACACATTTTATTTGTCAATTTATTCATTGCATAATAAATTTTAAATAAAAACGCCAAATTCTTTTACGCACATATAATTATCAGCAACCACTAATTTACAAAAATCACTATTGCCCGAATATCCGCACTTACTGAACGACAAATTCAAACTGAAGAAGCTTGTGGGAATAGACGAAGAAATCGAACGACAATAACGGAGGATTCAACTACTGAAATTCAAGATAACTAGGTGGTCCATATTACCCATGTAGTCCATATTACCCACCTTTACACTAATCATTAAAAAGGTACTAATATCGGTATTTAATCATTAAACGGTTATCCAAAAAACATGCTTTAATTAATGATCATTATGAATATTAATCATTATTTAACAGGTATGGTAAAATTGCGAGTACGTACTCGCTTTAACGGTTTACAATATACCCCAATAAAAGTTACAATATTTTGTGTACTCTATTGTATTAAACTGCCGAAGTCAAATAAAACAGGACATGAATAAATCGTTTTGTACTTGGTACAAGTCTGGTCATTTTCGAACTAGTTCGGTTTCAGTCAGGAAATTCTAGTTGTAAACTAGTATTTTTCCTGACTAGTTTGGGGTTTCACTGCAGGGTCGCTACGGGGACGTAATTGGCACACTAACACAATCACACTTTCAGTTGGTGTTTACTTGTGGTAGTGATCACATCTGCTCATATACACTCCTCGTCATTTGAATTGCACACCCTTTCAATCCTTAGTATTTACAGTTTTCCTTTTGCTTATTTAATATCAATTTTTTGTAAAAATATAGCATATTCTACGGGTAAATGCAATTTAAAATTTTTTTACAAATCAAAACTTAAAAGAAAATTTCTTTTCCATTTCTTGGACAGCATTTAATATGATTTTTTCGTTTTTTCTTGAGAGCTGGAAACAGTTCTTAACAAAGGTCAACACAGGAGTGTGCCATCCTAAGGACCTGCAGTGAATAAGTTAATAATATTTTTAGAAAAATTTGGGATATGCAGTTTTGTAGCCCATTCAATTATAGTGTAATAAAGTGCAAGTTTCAAGACACTCTAAAATAGCACTGATTTTTGAAATTTTTTTATTATTTATTGACGGTGCTGCGCATTTTATTCCATATAAAAATTTTGTCGAGCATACTTTGTATCATCACCATAAAAATTGTCAAAAATCACCGCTATTTTACAGACACTTGAAACTTGCACTTTATTGTACCCATTTGTTGAAATTTTTTTAACTCTGTATAAAGTTTTGAAATCGGATGAAATGAATATTTAATAAACAAAATTAAAAATGTAAATACTAAGGATTAAAAGGTAGAGCTATTCAAATGACGAGGAGTGTATGTGGCGTACGTTTGGGACAGTGGGCCCTTTTACTCCAGAATGCGTGTGGAGTGGCTCTCATTGGTATTGGTGTATTAGTAAGATTCGTTGCCCCCTTCATGTTTGCCCATGATTTTCCCCTGATCTAGCCCGCGAAATGGGCTCGCTTGCCCGTACGGGCAAAAAAGCCCATACCGGCAAAAGTGCCCATGTCTGGTTTAGATTAATCATTAGGAATATTTTTAGAGGTTTTTGAATAGGGTTTCACCTGTTTAAAAAATTTAATCAATTGTTGGCGTTTTGACGCCATGCGGGTTCTCTACTGCATATAATAAAATACGTTGTGTATAAATATTCTTTCCGTGAAAATGTTATTTTGATCTAAATTTATTATGGTTTATGCAATTCCGTTTTTGTATGCATTACAAGAGAGCATCAACTAAGTTTTCCTCTGCAATTGAACGAGATTGTAAGTGTAAAGATGATTTGAAAAAAAAACGAGAGTTTGACTAAACCTTTGGCTCAGCAATTATGGCAGCCCTACTCTTAATAATATCACTTTTGGCCGCCCAAATTGTCTAACCCCCCTATTCTTACAAAAAAAAAACACAATAGTGATGCGCTGAGTTTTGTGACTTTGTTAGAATAGGGGGTAAATCTGTGTCTGCGTGGCGGAGGTGACGTTTCTCAAGCAAAAATAAACAAAGCCGGAAGGGAGGATAGAAGAAACTGTCAAAACAGTAATTTTCTTAATATTAAATTTTTCGATAGGAAACATAGTTTAATTGTGGTAAATTGTAAAAATATGATTTATACAAAGAATTAATAAAGAAATTTAAAGTTTCTGAGGCGTTGTTTACTTTTACCTGAGAATTGTCAATATCCGCAAAACCAAAGTAGCGGTTTACGCACAAAGACACAGACAAGACCACGAATTTAGAAGAATATAGTTAGCATCCTCACAAAGCTTTTTTGCTTAACAAAATTGTATTTTCAAAATAGCTGAGTCAAGAATTGCACTTTTTTGGGTCGAGTAAATAAAATTTTGAGGGTGTAGCTGGCAAACTAGTTAAAATTTCTTGATACATTCTTGGGAGCATGGACATTGCATATAATTACGGTGACCGTTCGTACCGATTTTGGCGTGACAGTACTGGTTTTAATAAAAATATCCCACTGAATATATTTTAAAGGTCGGGACGTATTTGAACAGACTATCTCGATTTTCAGGATTTTCTTTATTAATTTAATAGGAGTGCAGGACTCTAGCCCAAAAACCATTTTTCTGACATACATACGTGGCAAAGCTTTCGTTGTCACAAAGAACATAGAATATAAGGGAGCCATAAACATAGCCAGCACCCTTATTTTCTATGATCTTTGGTCGTTTTATTCTGTCAAACTAGTACTCTCGCTATATTGCAGTCTATCATTCTTGCTTCGTAGTCTTAAGGCTTTTATAATTATTTGTTAAGTTTGTTATTTTTTTTTAGTCAAACGACACTAACTTGTCAATGTTATTGTGGCTTGTTAACATTTTATTTTTAATATTTTTATTGAGCTTTGTACCACGATTGTTTATTAGGAAAAATTGAAAAAGCAACAAAGTCTAAGCGGTAGAAGTTATAGCACTATTTCGGAGATCACCACATCTCCTCATCAGACTTCTTTTTTCTAGACTTCAGCAGGGATCGAACCTGCGAATTCGATGTTCAAAGGTTGAATAAGGAAAATGAATTAGCAACAAGAGTTTACGGGATGTACATAGCTCAGTGGTTAACGCTTCTGGATTACGTTTACGAAGACGAAGCGAACATGTGGTACGAAGTAGTGATGTAAAAATATGTAAAATTTTACCTAGTCTGAGAGAGACTTCTAAATTTTAACGTATACTCGGTACAAGCAGGTGGAATGAATGGCGCAATAAACAGGTGAGGTAATAAAACAGATTTCTCGCTTTATTTTCTGACATTGGGCTGTCTTATAGTTACATTTTATAGGCATGTTTACAAATAAGGCAGTGTCAAAATATTTATTCTCACTCTAATATTACTTCACCTGGTACATATAATTCCACCATGGGTGGGGTGCATGCAATAATACGATACGCAATAATTCCCATTACTTGGACATTAAAAAGCAGTTTCAGAAGTGAACTAGTGTCATCGTATTATTATTCTTTTTCCTAAACGGTTATAATGACAGCAGTGCATAATTGCAAAGGAGGGGAGGGGCGGGGGACGCGAGCGCGACGTCGAACGCGGCCAGACGCGGGCGGTGCGCGAACACGGACCGCCGCGAAGCTGGGCACTTTCAAAATTGTGTACTTACAAATCCGTCCATTTAACTTGTTCATGGACCACTTTTTGTCAGATGTAACTGGGTGAATACCTACATATGTATGTGCACTATTTTGCTTTATTACTCAATTGTTAAGTTTAAAAGTTTCTCTTATTGCTCAACGAGAAATTAAATAAAGCAAATTTGTGTTATTTCACATTCAATTAGGAAATAACACAAAATTGCGTTATTGCTATTTGTGTTATTTCGTGTAGTTTATTTAATAAAACAAATTTTCTTCTCGTTTTATATAACTAGTTTAACTTTACTAACTTTGATGCTATGTAGTATCAACTTACTTAAACTGTATACTTATCATTAAATTTTGGTTTTCATTTCTAATATATCTTCAGCAACTTCAACATAAAAACCGAACCGCTTGATCAAATATCCACCGCAGGTCTGCACAATTCAGCACAAATAATAGATAACAACAATTCCACAATTTTGGCTTCCAGCTTAGCAGAGCCACCTCCACTAAATAGCCTCGCTTCTGAACAAACGCCACACATCAAGAGCGAACCAATAGATATTGGTTCCGAGCCATCACTACCAGCAACCGCACCACAACCAGCATTACGCACTCCAGCTGTTATACCACCACCGCCACTCAATGCTGCCACCGATGAGAATGCAACCACTGCGGCGAACCAGAAATACTGTCAAACGTGTGACATTTCGTTCAACTATTTAAAAACCTATTTGGCACACAAGCAGTACTATTGCAAGAATAAATTGCGCCGCCCTGAAGCTCACGATAGCCCTAGTCCCAATAATGGACTCATTTCAATGTCGGTGGGATCCCCCAATTCGATGTTGTTGATGCAGAAAAATAAAGAGAACTTGCAACAAGAAGCAGCCATTTGATAGAATGAAATGCGCCAAGCGCGAAAACAGTGGGAGTGGTACTGGAGGTGCTGAGAAGTGAAGTTCAGGAGGAACTCAGAGGAGACCGAATAAAGCAGTTTCAAAAGAACCATACAAACATACATTGCAAAAGTATATGTAAACGTGCAGTATTCGACTGGAATCTCTGTAGATGGCCACATTTGAAAAACAATTAAACAAAATAATTTTTGTATAATCAGGTAGTGCTTTTTAAAGG